GGGGTGTAACTCAGTGGTAGAGTGTCTGCTTCGCATGCTGAAAGTCCTGGGTTCAAATCCCAGCACCTCCAACGGAGCGAGTAAATTTTCTTTTTCCTTTCGTTTTTCACCTGACTTAATTTTCCCCTTCCCTTTTGTCATCATTTTGCGTAAAACAATGTAAAATTGATGAAAGTAACAGTAGTATGGAAAAAGAAATATTTGAAATTATACCATCGCGCGGAACAAGCCTTCGTTTGTAAAACTGAATAATAAAATAATATTTGTTGAATAATGAAACACGTAATAAGATAAATATTTGTTCAAGCGATAAACGGAAAAATGAAATTAGAAACGAAGGTTTTAAACGTAAGGTATTAGAAAAAGAAAAAAAGAAAGAGAGAGGCGCAATAAGTTCAAGATTGTTTTATCCAGCGGAATCGCGTTTCCATGATTTGTTAGCGGCGGTGAGAAGCTGTTTCGTATACGCTACATAAATGTATGACCACTTATCCGGATTGCCAGAACGGAGTCCGCCGTTCGTCCCCTCGCGTATATTTCGAAGGTTCTCTAGCATTCCGAAGTAGAATCGTGTGGAGGGTCATATAGACGCGCACCTCGTGAATTAAACATCGTTCGATAAAGGAAACCCACTTCTACTATCAGTTAAGAGGGGAAAAGCTAAATAAGTGGAAAATCCGAATGATCATTCGCTAACGTCCCGTCCATTCTCTGACCATTTTCTCCAACCATTTCGGCCAAAGCCCCATGCGTTTCTTCTTTAATTTTAAAGGACGTGGAGAAAAATAATCGAGAGTGTACTCGATCGCAAGAAGTTACCAAGAAATATGGCAATAAGAACACGCGATGCGAAAGAAAAATGTAAAATGCCCGACAGAATGATAAATCGTAAAGCATTTCAGTCGATCCATGTTACTCACCGACCGTGGTCAGGAGCATATTGTCCAAAAGTAGAGCAATAGCGACGATCACGAGGACCAATCTTCGCGATTCTCGACATCGTTGCAACCAACCGTTCCATTCTCCGCCGCCCATTCTCGCTCCGTGATTCGCCTCTCCCGTTTCCTCGGACGATCTGCAAAAGAAAAGAGGAAGTGTGAAGATCGCGAAGAAGGAATCGTGTCGCCCAACGAGACACAATTGAGAAAATCGAAGGAAATCAAAGTTGCGCCGAGGTTGAAGAGGGAGGGAGGCTCGAGTAAACTAATTAGTCGAGTAAAACGTACCGTATGTGTGCAACGTAAAATTGGTCTCTCCTTTCAGCTAAGTTCATTCGTTCGATTTCATTGTTCGTCACGCCTTTCTCCCTCCTCTCTTCTTCTCTTTCCAACCAAAATGGCGGATAAAAAAAACGCTAAAATTAGATTTCATTTTTCTCCAAGATTCGTGGTTGGTCGATTTACGGCGACAAAAAGGGACCCCCTTTAACGGAGAAGATGGTAGAAAATGGTAGAAAATAGAGGGAGAAAAGATTTCGAACGGGAGCATTCCTTGCCTCGTGATTCGAACTTCCGCCACTCGAGCAATTTCCTATCAAGGGTAAAATATATATGCCCAGTATTTTCTAAGCATTTTCTAGCCCCACCCCTCCTTTGCGCAACATCGTGGTGACCCGCGATCGTTCGAAAAATAATTTTCAACCACTTCGGCACAACGGCTTTGAATTTCACTGATCGCGAAACATCGATGATATACGAACATCGAGGATATATTTTACACATTTGCGTTGATCCCACTGGCCACGTAATGTATTACGGGTCGTATTTGAAGTAAAAAAAAAAAAAAGGATAATTAGAGAGAGAGAGGAAAAAAGGAAGGAGAAAGGTTGGACGAGGCGGAAAATTGATACTATATATAATAGTGGAATATATAATAATAAACAGGTATGAACTATAGTTCCCTAAAATACGATTATCGACGATTCGAAGGTGGATCGTTCGATGGTTGGGCTATAGAATTAACGGCATTAATTGGTCGCTTTTAACGGTATCTGGCATCAACTATCGCGCAACCATTCTACAGGCGATGCCGTTGCCGCTCCTCTTTTATTCGTAATAACTCGATTACCCGATGCTTTTAGCTCGGCTAATTTTCGCACGCTTCTCGTGAATAGGAAACCATTAAGGCCGTCCAAAGCGGTACCTGGCTATGATTCCTACCGCACCCCTCCTCCTCGCCTCATTAAAAAGGCGCTTTCTCGATTTTT